AGAGAGAGAGAGAGAGAGGAGAGAGAGAGAGAGAGTAGTAGAAGAATAGTAGAAGAAGAGAGTAGTAGTAGTAGAATACGGAGAGAGAGAGAGAGAAATAAAGAAGTTTTGGAAGAATCATGTGAAAAGAGAGGGTGGGGTTTACAAGGGAATATTTTTTTAAGATTTGCTTGGGCTAAAAAAATAAGGTCAAAGTGGGTAAAGTCGAAGATATAATATGATCTTCATGCCACAAAATACATTTTAAAACCTTGGGTCTAATGAGAAATGGAACCAAAAACAGAGTACATAGATAATTTCCCTTTTTCAAAACCTTGTTAGAGAGTACTAATGATCCAAACTATTGAATTATATATGTTTGGGCTGTGATTACTAATAACATAGGGATGTTCTAATGACCCTAAACAACAACTTAGGGTTATCAATTGTTGTTTTGGGTGCGATTATTGGACAAAATATTACCCCATTAAAATGGTCTCAACTTAGCTCCAAAGCATTAATGATGGAGTTTTGGTGGCCGAATCACCCTATTCAAGTGCAGTGTAATTTTTAAATATATGTTATAGATGGTCCTTGATCTAATATTTATTTGGTCAATTAGTAAGCATTCTAGAAAAATAAAATAAAATTTATTTGGTCAATAATTTTGATGAATACCAAATGGATTTCTATATTCAATCTTAAAAATGGATAGAATTTTTATTTTTAACAATCTTTGGACCTTTCATTTAGTATTTCTAAAATAAATTATTTTAAATTTAAATTTATTTATTTAATAATACTCAGAACACATATTGTTCTAATGTTTTTATCCAAAATCTATATTAAGAGTTTTGAGTTTTGGCAGGACATTGCGCCTAAATAGAATTGTACCGAAACTTTTCCCATGTATTGGGCGAAATAACAGGTGGATGGGCACAAGCACCTCTGTAATGGTTGAGATTTCATGGCTATATAATGGCCAAAAATTAATTTTATATTTTATTTAATATTTTAAATTTAAATAAATATTTATCCTAATTTTTTGGTGTGGTTTACTTTTATAAAGAGAACTAAAATAGATGATTTAAAAGCATTTTAAATAAAAGACCAAAATACGATCACATTTATTTTGATCAATATTTTTTATGCAAAATATTTGTATTATTTTTATTTAATTCTATTTATAAAACAAAGGTAAAAGCTAAATTTCATGTTACTATCATTTTTAAAGAAAAATAAAAAATAAAAGAATAAAATTCATTTTTGGACCTTGGATGTGGTTGATTCAATCTTAACCATTAAAAAGTGCTTGTGGACCTTAATACCTAACCTCTTTGATAATGGTGTGGTTTGTATAAGGTTGCAACCTTAAACAATCAAAGTAAGTTACATATATAAACTTTGTCATAAGATACAGTCTTAGTGACGAAAATTCTTAGGTTGGCGTGAGAATTTATTTTTATCTTGGGTTGTGAATTTTAAACTCTAAAAACAGTTCAAATCAAGTAAATCTACAAGCACATAAAAATCGTAAAAATTGATGATCCAGATAATGTATTGTAAGGTGTATTATTTTTAGGATGCGGTTGGCATGCGGCCAAGCTTGCATATGTACAAATGCGGGTTTCGATATAAATAAATATTTTAAATATAATTTGATCCTAATTTCTAGAGAATTTATAATCTTTAACATGGAGATCATGAATATGAGAAAATAATAAAATTTAAAAAATAAAAATAATAATTATATTAAAAAAACATTTGGGCCTTTAGTTACAATTGTTTTTAGATGGACCACTTTGCATCCATCTTGGATGCTTTATACCTCTGGATCACAAATATGTGCATACACGTTCCAAACTTTTCTATTTGATAATAGAAAGAACTTGTATAAGGTTTCTACTTTTTTGTTTTTTTTTTGATAAATCATATAAGGTTTCTATCGAGAAGTAATGTGCTTTTCAAAAATTCACCTAAAAGGATTGATCCAATGTTGAAAAATTTACTATCGATCATTTCGACCTCAAGACATATGGTTTTTAAAAAAACAAACAATGCTTCGACTCCAACAAGAGCGCATATTTGAATACATTTTTCTAAACGGCCCCTTCTCAAAATTTTATGAGAATATGGATGTGCTTAATCTATACCATTTTTCGAAATTTAATATACCATTTTTTGAAATTTAATTTCTTAATAGAATGTTTCTTGACAGGAGTGATATTGTAAGTCAAATCGTAAAAATCTTTTGACAACTGATAGAAGGCAAAAGCAATATATCTTGCAATTTACATAAACTAAAAATGACATTTTTAACCTTTTCGAACCTTTACAAGCCGTCGGAGTATTTCTCACGTTGTCCTTGAAAATTTGGAGGGTAGTTTCGAAATTACGAGGTCTATATAATACCCTTTCTTTCTGTGGCATTTCACCTTGCATTCGTTCTTCTTACCTGGTTCCTTCTTTAGTTTTCGCCATTAAAGCTTGGCCTCGCACTGAAAACCCTAGATCCTGGTTTTCTATCCTTCTTCTTTAATAAGGTAAGTCGTATATAATCCTTTCATGAACAGTCAATCCATTTTTTTCTTCAATTGCTTGTTTCATGAATCATCGGAGTGATTGCAGGTGACCCGGTTTTTGTCATCGTGCTAAACCCTACATTTCAAAATAGCATCTGTTTATGTTGACCCAAATCCTCTTATCTCGATCCATTTATCGGTATTGTAGCTCCGGATGAGTTTCTGGTGTATAGTGTTGTTTATTTATCAGTGTAGAACCATTTGATCCAGTTCAAAGTTTTCGTTGTTTTATTTTTGTAGTTGGGTCAGATTACTGTTTTCACTGAACTTAGGGTCTTGAGTGCTCAATTGGCGTGCCATGGAGGCGGTGGTTATGTGCGGGCATGAATCTTGCATTCCTGTGAATTTAAGATGAATGTATCTAATTAGTTGAAAATTTTGCGACCTATTTTTGCTTTTGTTGTTAGGATTCACTGTCTATGCAGCAGTTTCTTGATAGAATGCTGGAATTTTTTTGAATACAATGTACTGTGTAAGTGTTTTAGAAAAAATTGAAGGAAAATGTTTGATGGCATATTTTGATACTTGGAAAATGTCTGGGCTTTATCTGGTCAAAATGTCTATATGTTGATACAACTGTGATTGATTATACCTAAATTTTTTTTTTTGGTAAGAAAAGTGATATGATTGCAATTGATGTTTATGTTTGAATAGATTGCTGAAGTGAATAGTTACTTAGATGTTTTGAATGCATACATGAAGAAATCAGATTATTTTTGGGGAAATTATGAAAATATATGTGCATAAAATGAAGGGCTTGTGTTTTTTTAAAGTAGAATGGTGGGCTTGTTTTTGTCAAGTTTCATGTATTTTGTTGATGTCGATGTGGTTGTATTTGATTACTAGTCAAACAACTATGTGGTATTATTGCACTCACATGCTTTTGTTGAGTGTTTAAAAGGCATGAGCTGCACTTTGCTTGAAACATTATGAAAATGCGTTGTGTTGTCTAGAAATGGATAATGTGTATGTTGGGATCCTTACCTACTAATCTAATATAACAAATTGGACAAGATGTGCTGATTAGGATTGTGATTTTTGAGTAGGGAGACAACAATTAACGGAAGCATGCTCAATGATGCATTTTCAGTTATGTGTGCAAGCAACTTTTTAAATAAATGACATGTCTTTCATGCTAAATGTCAACCCTTACATATGAACCTATTTTCATAAGTTGACATTAGAAAATGTTCACATTACATGGATAAAGGATTCTTGAAATTTTAGGCAAGCCTTTCTCTAAGCAAACCATTTGAGGATGCAGAAAGTCCCATATACAGAGACACATGCTTCTGGTAAATTGATTCTGCCTTTGGGGCATCTTAATGAATATGTTGTGAAGCTTTCAAATAAGCAGTTCATTAGAAAAAGATCTATATGTACACTTTGTAGTTATAAAATATCTATAACTGTAAGGATAATTATTAGTTAAATCTAAAACTGTGAGAGTAATTATAATATTATATTAATGATTTGTCAAAGAGATATCGTGCATGGTTAAAGATATACTACCAGGAAAAAATGATAATCCGTGTACTCAACTACATGCCTTATGCTGTATGGGAATTTATTTTTGTTAGTAATTTGCAATATGTTCAAGGTAGAAGAGTTATTGTATGATTTCTTGTATTTTGGTGATTTAACAGGATATTCTAGGAGTTTTACAGGATGATGATGTATACTTCATTCTTGCAAAGATTGCATCATGATACTTCGTAATATTAGAAGGCAGGCATGAATATTGTGAAAGGTGTAGCTGATCTACTTCGTAGAACATCTATTGGGCAAGCTGGAGAAAGTGCTCTATGGTCACATGAGAATATTTCAGCTCATCCTTATCCAAAAATTCACTTCCGGTACTTCTTTTGCACTCCATTATGTTTGTTGTGTTTCTTTTTTCACAATGAATATTAGGGGTTAAATTTGTTAAATTCGGTTGTGTTACAAGACTCTGTTGTTCTTGGTGATATAGTGATTAACAAATTGGGTTATGTTGCAAGACTTTGCTATTCTTGGTGTGTGTATATATAGGGTGCGGTTTTATATGAATTTGCAGCCTTACTTGTAGAAGTAAAGTTGTAATGTTCTTCACCATCCATTTTAATTGGATGGTGTAGTTTTAATGTGACTTTTAAAACAATGTCAAAAAGTGACATGCCTTTTAAGATGGTGGGAAATCTACACCGTCCAAATAAAATAGATGGTGTAGATTGTTGCATCCTTACTTCTACAATTAAGGTTGCAACCTTATAAAAGCTTCACACACATATCATTGTCATCATTTGAGCCTTATCCCAACTATTAGGGGTTGACTACACGAATCTTGTTCTCTATTAAGGGTTCATACACTCAGTCAGACTATAGAGCACTATATCTCTTCTCACTACTTCCATCTATGTCCTTTTGGGCCTTCCCATTACCCTTCTAGAGCTTTCTACTTGAACCAAATTATTCCACATCTCGTCTCCTAAGGAGCTACCCTAAAATTCTCTTTGATGTATTCATTCCAAATTCTATCGTTTTGTCTTGCCACTCATCCATTTCAATTTTTTATCTCACTCAATCTATAAATATGTTGTTTCTTGACCGCCAACATTCCGTCCTATAAAATATGATCGGTCTTATAGTTGCCCTATATATATATATATATATCTGGGGTCATATGTAGCTGTGAGCTAGTGGGCTAACCTCAGCCTTTCCCATATATATATATATGTATTTTTTTTTTGAATGTTAACATTGTATTTGCTATAAGAAGGAGTACAACTGTAAGAGGAAGGAGAGGACTTAGAGTACCCACTCAGGTATCTTGGTCAAAAACATAGGTCCAGAGGCCCTATACAAAAAATTGGCTTTGTCACATGCTTGATTACAAAAAATTTGGTGTAGCAAAAAATGGGGCTTATAAGAATGCTTGAGTACAAGTAGGAGAGAGAGGCTAACTACGGTCCTAGAAACTCTTTGTGGTCCAGAGCAAAAAAGGAGATGGACCGGTTGGGGTCTTCCACACGTGCCCGTGCTCCGTCTTTAGCGAGAAGATCGGCGAGCTCGTTCGACGTCTGCCAAGTATTCATCCATAAGACATTTATATCCTTGCATATATGGTAAATTTCATCAAAAATCCTGGAAAGGTACCAAGGCGGGGAAGTAGTGCCTGCTGCCCAAGAGATGATGTTTTGGGCTTCTCCTTCGACCTTAACAAATGGCCCCATGAAGGGTTAAAACTTTTGAGGCTCGTAAGAAGTGCCAAAGCTTCAGCGAACTGGGAGTCTCCCAATCCCACGTATTCCGAGTAGGTAAGGAGGACATTGCGGTTGTGATCACGGAAGACCCCTTCAGCTTAATGGCATTTTCAGGAGGGGGTTGCCAATTGTGGGGTCTTTAATTCTTGTGAGGTTGGAGGTGAATATTATTCTCCCACTGACTGAGGAAGGTATTAGTGGGGATCCCTACGAAATCCCTGTAGGTAGAGGCCCAAAAAGTTTCTAGGGAAGTAACCTTATGGAAAAGCACAGGTACTTCGTTTTTGTGTGCTTTAAAAATCCTCTCATTTCTTTCAAGCGAAATGACCCAGATGGTGGCGGCGATTGCAGACTTCCACAACGTTCTACCGGCCTTAGGCCAATGGCAGCTTGAATAGGAGGAGATGAGTGCCTCAACCGAGGGAGGGAGGACCCATTAAAAATGGAACAATTGAAGTATAAGACTCCATAGTTCGAAGGCTTTACAACAATGTAGGAAAAGGTGAGGTTCAACTCCTCCTCATTCAAGCACATAACACATCTGTTAGGGAGCGAGATGCCTTTTTTTTGAAGCTGGTCGACTGTGAGAGCCTGTTTACAACAGGCAATCCAATTAAAAGTTTGGACTTTTGGAGGAGCACTAGTGGACTAAACTTTGGAAAGGGCAGAGGGGGGGTTAAATGGGTAAGTGGGGGGTTGAATAAGTTTTTGATAGAAAGAGGCTACTGAGAACTTTCCAGACGGAGAGATAGTCCATACCATTGAATCTCTCTCAGAAGGAGATAAGAAAATTGGGTGTAAGGCAGCCGCCAGGGAGATGAAGAGTGTAGATTCGTCATCAGTGAGGTTTCTCTTGAAAGAGGGATTCCAGATTCTACGGCCCCCTGAAAGGACCATATCTGTTAGTACAGTTGAATCTTTTTGGAGGATAGGTGATAGAGGGAGGGGAAGAGGTCACAAAGAGGAGAGTGTCCAATCCAGAGGTCTGACCAAAAGCACACTCTAGTGCCTTCTTTAGGCTGGAAGCGGATAAATTGATTGAAAAGCGCAAGCGAGGAGGTGAAGGATTTCTAGCCTCCTGAGGCCCTGTTGCGGAGGATCCTATTGGGCACCCACTTGTTATCCGGAATCCTATATTTGTTACGAATGACTTGTGCCCAGAGAGAGTTAGGTTGGGTGGCCAATCTCCACCACCATTTCCCTAGCAAAGCCAGGTTGTGTTTTCTAAGGTCTCTTATACCTAGACCACCTTGGGATTTGGGTAGTCGAACGATATCCCATGAGATGAGGTGATGTCTGGTTTTTTCTGCCGGACCAGACCATAGAAAGTTTCTCATGAGCTGGTCCAGCCTGTTAGCCATCGAAGCCGGAATGTGGAAGATGGACATTAAGTAGACCGGGGCATTGGCCAGTATACCTTTGATCAGCGTTGAGCGACTAGCCAAAGAGAGATATCTCCCTTTCCAGCCAGCCAGACACCTGTCCACTTTGTCTATGACTTGAGCCCATTGTCTCTTTTTCGGCTTTCCCAAGCCCAAAGGTATGCCCACGTAAGAGGTGGGGAGGTCCTCTAAGTTGCAGTCCCAAGAAGGAATAAGGGCGCTGATCTCTTGAGTAGTCTGACCTATCCCCATCATTTTTTATTTATCCATATTAACTTTGAAGCTAGTGGCAGTCTCGAAGCATTTGAGGAAGAGCCTAAGGTTCTCGACTTCTTGATTAGAAGTGTCAAGGAAGACTAAGGTGTCGTTTGCGTACTGCAGGTGTGACACCAAAGGACCTTGTGGGCTGCATTGGAAAGCTGAAAGAAGGCCTTCCTGATAGAGGCGAGAGATGGACCTGCTAAAAACCTCTGCTACGATTGCCAAGAGAAAGGGGGACAGAGGGTCCTCTTGGCGTACCCCCTTGAGGAAGGGAAAAACCCTTTAGGGCTCCCGTTTATCAGTATCGAGAAATGAGGGTGGGAAATACAGCCTTTCATCCATTTTCTCTAAAGGTTTCCAAAACTTCTGGCCATTGTCTCGTCCAGTAATGACCAGTCAACATGGTCATATGCTTTTTTCCAATCGATTTTGAAAATTAATCATGGCCTCTTGGATAAGTGCTTGGAGTGGAGGCACTCATGTGCTCCCACTGCCCCATCCAGGATCTGCCTATCTTTGATGAAGGCGGATTGGGACGGAGAGATAGTCAGTGGGAGGACTAGCTTGAGTCTTGATGCCAGAGCCTTGGCCAGAATCTTGTATGAAGAGTTGAGTTAGCTAATTGGACGAAAATCCTTTAGCTCCTCCGCCCCTTCTTTCTTGGGAACAAGAGCGATAAAGGTGGCATTGATGGCTTTGTTTAAGATCCCCCTTTGGTAGAAATCTTCGAAAAAGGTAACGAGATCAGGTAGAAAGGTTCCCTTAAAGGATTTAAAGGGGGCCATGGGGAAGCCGTCCGGCCCCTGCGCTTTATCTTTGGCTAATGGTTGATGGCACAGGAGATTTCCTCTTCAGAGAAAGGTCGTTCCAGCCAACAAGACCAATGATCAGGAAGGGTTAAGAAGTCCAGGGTGGTCATCCTTGGTCTGTAGCCCAAGGGGGTTGTGTAGAGAGACTTGAAGTAACCAAGGATGACTGATTCGATTACATCGTGCTGGACCAAAATGCGATTATCCACCTTGATAGTGGAAATCGAGTTATCGCTTCTTCGGCAATTCGTAATACGGTGGAAGAAGCGGTGTTCTGGTCCCCTGTTTTTAACCATTTGACTCTGGATCACTGGTATTAAAAAAGTTCTTCCTTCTTGAGGGTAGAAAGGTAGTCCAGCTTGGTTTGTGTTCTGAGCAGTGTTTTAAAATGCCGGATGCGGTGGGGTGCCGATGCGGCGATGCGGCTCGAATGCGGGTGCATCGCGATGATGCCGTCAATAAATGTAAAAAAATTCTAAAAAATCTAAAAAAATAAGTTAATGCATAGAAAAAATGTGAAAGTGATATATGTGATAGTAGGTATTTTAGTTTAAGAATTAATTTCAAAACTATTAGCTGTCGAAGATTCTATATCCAGTTATCCACTATCCCTTGATAGAAACTAGAAACTTGAAACCAGCTTCATAAAGCATTCAACAATTAACAACCATAAGCACAAATTTGCACCATAAGCACAACCATCAACAACCATAAGTACAACCATAAGCACAAAATAGTGATATTACAAAATACAAACCAAAAGTCAAGCTCAAGAAGAGTTAATAGTTAATAACTTTATACAATAATCTATTTTGAGAGTCAATTTTGAAATTTGAACTTCATTTTTTCAAATATCAATTAGACAAGTCATCTTGAGAGTCATCATGCACATCATCAATATCATCCTCGACGGCCTCCATGTATTCTTCTTCATCAATCTCCTTTGAGTGAGCTTCCTCCTCCTTGACCTCTGAAGCTAATGTGTGAGTACGACTAGACCCAGTAGCTCCTCTACTCCTTTGTGCTCTAGTGTTAGGTCGATCTTCTTTATTAGCCCCTATTGTTAGCTCAACATCAGGCTATGTAAGATCCTCACCCTCAAACACACGCTCTTGTCTTGGATCCATGGTCCACTCACTTATGGAATCACCATCAGCTTCAT